AAAACAGGCTATAAGTTATTAACTCAGAATAGGCCCTTGCCTTCTTCATCAATCAATTCTTCATCTTAATCAAACAACCAAACCCAAAAAAAAAAAAAAAAAAAAAAACAAACAAAAATTACCTGTGTTTTGATTGAGAACCTGTTTAGCAGTGGAACAACTGAGGAAGCATGTAACAGAACCAGACCTTTGCTATCACCTGTGACAGCTTTAAATTGACGAGTGACTGAAGAATCCTGTCCTAAAAACAATGCATGTACCACTGGTGCATTATGTTCTCCAGTAATAACTTTTACTGCTGATGCCTTCTGCACATCCCAGACTGTAATGTGGCCATCACCATAGCCAGCTAAGAGCAGGTCTCCTGGCTGATTGAAGCACAAGGAAGTTACTGGGGAAAAAGACCTCTCCCCTTGCAAACCAAGCATCACCATCTAGAGTACATATAGAACTGTTAGGCAAAAAATGGACTCAAATGATTAAATAACTAATGGAACATTAAGCACAACAAAGTTCATGAGTATTATGCATATTGAAGCTTAAAGTTAATTTATAATTATTAAACTCTGCAAGAACTTAATGTGGATAAATTCGATTCTTGTGTTCACCTCCACAAGGCAGGAAACTGAGTAAGAGCCTCCCATATAAAGAACACATATCGGGCAGCATAGAACATTCTCATGAAAATATTATCAGAATATTGTTCAAATGCCCTAAAGTATCTAGAAATATCACCAGAATATTGTTCAAATGCCCTAAAGTATCTAGAAATACTAGAGCGCACATCTAACAACTCAGAAAGACAAAAGTCTAAAGGTCTCTATCAAAAGGATGCAGAAACTAAAGCAATTTAGTAAATAAAAGCAACCTTCGCATCCATGTTGTCAGCATGATGAGCAGAGTATTTACTGGGCACTAGAACAATGACTCCTCTTGTCATTCCCACTGCAATATAACTTAGATGAACTGTCAAAACTTGAGGAGAACCATGATCACGCCTGAACACATGCGATGAAATAGTCTGAGTGACAGTGTTTTGAGCACTGACATCAAAGTATCCCAATGTGGTTGAACCCCTCTTAACACCCTCGAGTCTCATTGGTTGAGCAGCAGCTCCTTCCTCCCAATGTAAACCAGTCGAAGCTTGTTTCTTCTCAAGCTCTTCAGCCAATTCAAGTGGTTTCATGGAAGCCCGCAAATGCCTTTCTGCTTTTTTACTTATCCTTTCAGTTCTCAATTGCCCAATTCTCTCCTCAACAAGCTCTGAAATGTCACTTATCGAACTTGCATCATTATCACCAACACCATCCACTTCACTATCTTTAGAGCCAGGCAAATCATTCTCTACATCCTCTTTCTCTGAAACCCCAATGGCTAAATCTTCCTCAAACCTTCCATCCTGATCAAAGCCAGGCAATGAAGAAACACCTTTTTTATCTGAATCACTCAATTCCAAGGATGTTGAATTCTCATCCATTGAGACAGAGCCTACCATTTCATCTACAACTCCATCTGAAACTGAAGTTGGATGATACTGGTCCAAGTTATCTTCAATAACAGTTGTAGACGGACCATCAGCTGGTTCCATATATGAATTTGACAACAAAGTACTAGTATCAACATCACCAACCTTGGATTCCAATTCTTCAACATCCTTATCTTCACTATAAACAATCTCATCACTCTCATCCTTGCTTTGCCATTTGATACTAATATCAGCGAAGCCAGATTGGGAATCACCCACGTTGTCATCATCAGTTCCTACTTTCTCGCCAGAAACACTGATCTCCAAGTCAGCCCCAATTGAATCCCCATTGGATGAGCATACCTCATTATCATCACGAACACTTGAACCGATCTCCTCACTACCAGCAACCTTCTGCAAAGCCTCGCTCTCCGCCCTCCGCGACTTCAATGCTGCAGCATAAGGCGTCGGAATCGACCTTGACGCAGCCGCCGCCGCAGCAAGCGCCGCCCCTGGCTTCGCATTCGATCTCACCCCTCCAAACAATGTCGGCAACTGTCTCAAAGAAGACGACGACGACGACGACGACGAAACCCTCCATATCGGATCACCACCTCTCGCCAATGCTCCAGTCCTTGATTCCAATTGCGACGGTTTCACGGATTCTACAGTTCCCCGCGGAACAGCCTCGTTTCCTGGTACCGATTGCGTAGATTCTGGTGGAACGGAGCTAGATCGGCCCAGACGATTGCTGCTGCTGTTGTTATTGTGGTGGAATTGGCTGATTGAAGGTATTGCAGGGGAAGAGGGGGATGACGTGGAGGAATCGGAATCGTTGAGGATTTCATCGACTGTACGATGAGGGTAAGAGTTCGACTCGTCATCGGAACCGGAGGAGAGGTGCGAGTCAAGAAACGAGTCAAGGTCGAGTTCCATGAAGGGAATACAGCGCTGGCGAAAATTCTAAGGTCTTTCAGAAATACATACGATGGAGAAGAAGAAGATCATCATGCCAAGATCAAGCCACTTCCTTTCTTCCCAAACCCAAATAGCCAAAAAGTTGAAGAAAAAGAATTAACCCAGAAGCCCAAAAAAAGGTTCCAAAAAACCCACAAAAAAAAACTTCAAACACAGACAACCTCCACTCTGATATCAGCCGCCATCATCAATCTACAGTTTTTCTTACTCGAATTTTCTTCCCAAAAATTGAATCTTTTAATTCACTCTTGTTTTTTCCTATTATAAATTTGTTCCAAAAATATTGTTTTCTGTAAATTATTATTCAAATCAAAATCCTGTTTAACTGTTGCAGTAAAGTTCTCGACTTTTTAGTTTTTAACAAATATCTTTTTTTTTTGTTAAATTTATATTTCTAAAAATTATTTTTTAGGTATAATTTTAATTGTAAAATTAAACTGTAAAATAAATTTTTTTTTATATTTAAATTTAATATTACTATGTTAGAAATCGTAGAAGTTGCTGTTTAAATGTACAGAATTCTCTAATTATATAAATAAAATTTTACATTAAAAAAAAAAGAAGATATATCCTGGTGTACATATAAAAGAAAAGCTTTGAATTAGATTTTAGTGATGTGATTTTTTGTAATTATATGTCAAATGGTATATTCCAGTCAGGTATGCCATGGAGTACAAAACCGAGAAATTTCCTAGGCCGCTCAAAATGCTGAGGTCCCAAAGCCAACGTACACGCCACTGCCGTCCTCCAGTTACTTTGAATATTTTACGACCACAGACACAACTGCAAAAGACAGCAGCTTCATCCTTAAGCTTAGAATTCATTGACGTTTCTGGTAATGCTTTATGCTTGGATTATGGTTTCTCTTTGTTGTGTCTCTTCAGTCTTCATGTTTCTATAACTACGTTATGCAATGTTCATCTGATGTTTGATTTTATTCCCCAGAGAATATGTAAAGTTCTTACTTTTTGACATTCCCCATTTTCATAAAGTTTTTGGCGTATGAGAAGTAAATATTTGTTAGCAAAAGAAACTGATTGATCTTTTCTCGTGCAGCTGTATCTCCATGATTCCTCGTTAACTTTTTTTTTTTTTTTTTGAGGGTATCTTCTTTCTCTTCGGGTTCAAGATTTTCAGGCTCTGATTTTTTATGTTGAACAGTTTGCTCCAAATTACAACTATGGCTGCAGCTTCAAGCTTTGTATCACATGTCAATTACGGAGTGGCATCTGGCTATGAACCTAAAGCAACACAGAAGAAAATTGGGTTCTTCAGTCGGTCTATGACCCACGATGGGTTAAGATGCTTGAACACTGTGGACAAGTTGCACAGCAGAAGTACTGCTAAAGGGACTACTCAGCAACTGAGGAACAAACATGTTAAGAATCAGAAGGCTAAGGCAGAAATTAGAGTCATTTGCGGAAGTGGGATGACGATGGTTTTTGTTGGAGCAGAGGTAGGTCCATGGAGCAAGACTGGTGGACTTGGAGATGTTCTTGGAGGTCTGCCACCTGCAATGGCGGTGAGAAATTAACCTCTCTTAAAAAATGTTTTGTTCATACATTGGCGTGGCTTTAAAGAGCATGATTTTATGGAGATAATCCTTCTCTAGGCCAATGGACATCGTGTCATGACTGTGGCTCCACGATATGATCAGTACAAGGACGCCTGGGATACAGGTGTTGCTGCTGAGGTATTACTAGTGTTTACTCTGTCGGAACACCAAATAATGTTATATTCAAAGGTTTTCATTTCAGCAGAAATCTCTCAATCTCGAGTTTACTGAATTTCCTTGGATACATAGTTTAAAGTTGGAGATAGGACCGAGAAAGTTCGTTTCTTCCACTGCTACAAACGAGGAGTTGATCGTGTGTTCATCGACCACCCTATTTTTCTTGAAAAGGTTAGTCCCCGTGAATAGTCTTTGCATTTCGCCAAGTATAACCCCACAATTCCCCCAATTCCTCATTAGGATAAAAGCGTTAAGTATAGTGATATATAATTGTCATAATAAATCACTATTAACAACCCAAGCTTTTAAGAGTTGTAGACTTTGTCCCAACTAAGGTCATTTAACAGGCATTGTTCAGGCAATGCCATGTCAGAAGGCATGTGGCCTGGCCTGACACGTGCCTGCTGTGCACATCTTCCCTCATTTGCTCGATATAGGGGTCTGCATTTTTAAAACCGCGTCAATAGGACTTGCCTAGGGATGTGATGTAAAAGGTGTCACACCAAGTCATGTATTTCTGATCAGTCTGATGTTGGGATTGGGGTACTGTGATGAAAAAATTTCAGGTGTGGGGAAAAACTGCTTCCAAAATCTATGGGCCTACTGCCGGAACAGACTATGAAGACAATCAACTTCGATTCAGCTTGTTATGCCAGGTTGATAACCTTTCCCTGGCTGTTATGTTATTCTCGAGGACTGCTCTGCAGATATGCAAGTGCAATCTGCTGCTTTGTTGCTATTTGGCATTTGTCCTCAACTTTTCAACTTTGTGGCTTTTTAGGCAGCTCTAGAAGCTCCAAGGGTTTTGAATCTTAACAGCAGTCAATATTTCTCTGGACCCTATGGTAATAAAGGTTATTTACATAGAGCGTAAAAGTAGTTCTGTTGAACTTCATAAATAATGCATTGATAATCTGCTATTGGGTGCAGGTGAAGATGTAGTCTTCATTGCCAATGACTGGCATTGTGCCCTTCTTCCCTGCTACCTGAAATCCATGTACAAACCCAAGGGGTTGTACAAAACAGCCAAGGTAAGGCTCCTCTCCTGCATGTCATTAGAATTCAAACTCTGGCATTTGAGAATAAACATTGTCCTCAATCATATGGCCAGGTTGCTTTCTGCATCCACAATATTGCATATCAAGGTAGATTTGCATTTAGTGACTTCTCGCTCCTCAATCTTCCGGATGAATTCAAGAGCTCATTTGATTTTATTGATGGGTATGGACTTCTGTAACTTCATCATATAATACAATTCCTACCAGTTTAAACTATCGGTGTCACTAATCATAATCTGCAGGTATGAAAAACCTGTGAAGGGAAGGAAAATCAATTGGATGAAAGCTGGCATATTAGAGTCTGACAAGGTCATAACAGTTAGCCCATATTATGCAGAAGAACTTGTTTCTGGTATAGAAAAAGGGGTGGAATTGGATAACATCCTTCGTAAAACTGGCATCACTGGTATCATCAATGGGATGGATGTCCAGGAATGGAACCCATCCGCTGACAAATACATTAGTCTCAAATATGATGCTTCTACTGTAAGAGCCTATCATATGTTCACCTTCCAGTTTTTCCATTAGCATTCTGCAAACTTTCTTTAAGGCCCAAAGTACTGAAAATTAATGACTCAGGTGATGAATGCAAAGCCTCTTCTGAAGGAGGCTCTCCAAGCTGAAGTAGGGTTGCCAGTGGATAGAGACATCCCTGTCATAGGCTTCATTGGCAGACTTGAAGAGCAGAAGGGTTCGGATATTCTTGTAGAAGCCATCCCCCATTTTATTAGGGAGAAGGTTCAGATAATAGTCCTTGTAAGTTTTCAAACAAAAAATTTCATTTCTCCTGGTTCATCCTTGTAGACACAAATAAACAACTTCCTCTTGAATCCTTCCTAAATTTCTCAGGGAACTGGCAAGAAGCCAATGGAAAAGCAGCTTCAGCAGCTGGAAATATTATACCCTGACAGGGCCAGAGGCGTAGCGAAATTTAATGTTCCCTTGGCCCATATGATAATAGCAGGGGCAGATTTTATTTTGGTTCCAAGCAGATTTGAGCCCTGTGGTCTCATTCAACTGCATGCTATGCGTTATGGAACGGTGTGGCTTCTATACTCAACGTTATTTGAATTTATAAGCTCTCGTTGAATGATTTGCAAAGAAAATAGCTGAAGACTGAAGTTTTCTCTTCATGTTGTCTCCACTATTTCTCTATAGGTACCTATTGTGGCTTCGACTGGTGGGTTGGTTGATACTGTCAAGGAGGGTTTTACAGGATTTCAAATGGGAGCCTTCAACGTGGAGGTGATTATTCTTCCAGAACCCAAATGTTTTTCTGCAAATTTTGGTTAGATAAACTTGAATCCTAACCATTGGTCTTTCAGTGTGATACCGTTGATCCTGCAGATGTGACTGCAGTAGCTTCAACCATCAAAAGGGCCCTCAAATTTTCTGGTACACCAGCTTTGGTAGAAATTATAAAAAATTGCATGGCTCAAGATCTTTCATGGAAGGTTAGTAATTCTCAAAACTTCTAAGTAGCCTATTTGATGCTGCATGACTTGATCCAAGGGAACCTGAGCTTACTGTTAGTGCAAACCTTTGTATGAAAGATCTTGCACGATTCTAACTATCTAATGACACAGGGACCTGCTAAGAAATGGGAAAAGGTGCTGCTAAGTCTGGGGGTTGCTGGTAGTGAACCTGGTATTGATGGTGAGGAGATTGCACCTCTTGCCAAGGAAAACGTAGCGAATCCATGAGGCAGAAGAATCCCCTTCATTTCTCAAACATCGGTGAGATTGGAAGCCTGTTGTTTGCACTGGAGAAAGGGACGATCAAAGCTATGCATTGTATGCATATAATACTCTACCAGCAACGAAAAAACATGTCAGATTCCATCATCCTTTCAGCCCAATGTCTGGACTCTGGACTGTAGCATTTCCCCGACGAAGAATAGATTCACCGCATATTTTTTAACCATTTTCTTCAAATGCCTGTGTTAGATATCAACTTTCCCTCTGGCAAAAATGTTCATCGAGCACGTATGTGATGTATCCATTTCCAGTGACCAAATATAGACTACCATTGATGTAAATTTGACTAGTTCATTTCGTAAATAGATGGATCAAAGAAAAAAACCTGTGTTTAGCTTTTGATGCAATGCAAGGACACAAATTAACTCGACACTTCCTCATGCCTCGCAAACATCAAAATTTTGGTATCTTAACATATATGGGTGTGCTAAGTGAAATCGAACAGCCTTGACTTCAGAATAAGAGCCATAAAAGTGATTCAAGATACTAATAAATCAAGCCCTTAAGAACCAACTAGATAAATAAAACTCTGGCACTTCAGTTTCTTTGATCTTCCCCCTATTTTCATTCAGTGCAAGATGCTGCTTCTTTTACAAACAGGCGGGAGGTTAAGGCTTTTTGTAAAGGAGCTGTCTTTGAGGAGTCATGTTAAGGGCAAATGCACGCCTTGTACCAAGTTATGACTAAGGGATGGGGTTTCTCTTTAATTTGTTGCCGTTCAAAAAAATAAAAAACTTTTCACTGGCTTACACTAAAGTTTACACTTTGTCATCACCAATCACTACAGATAATGATTTGTTCAACAACAGGCAACAGGCATATAATGACGGCCCAAAAATACAACAGGCATATATAATAGAAATTAAGTAGTAATTAACAGCACCGTTTAACATTGGAGTGGCAAATGGAAAAAAAAAAAAATCTCAATAAGATTGATATATGTGTCTGGAAGTCAAACAGAAAATCTCAAAATGAACAACATAATAGTGTTTTCACTACAACATTCACTTCTAAACCACAAAACTAAAGACTGGGATTAACAAAATAAGAAGTAACTATTCTTAACCCAAACACCAAAGCAGCATAGGACTAACTAAATCACACTGAACGGATTTTCTAATCAAACAAGCTGAATCCCATATCATCATCACTCTCTTCTTGTGGTTCCTCCTGCAAAATCACCCATAAAACACATCAGAACAAAATAAAGAAGAACAAAATTTTCTCTTAAAGCTCCTATATTTCTTTAATCTACCTTCTTCTCCTCAGCAGCAGGAGCAGCAGCAGCAGCAGCAGCCGGAGCAGCACCCCCACCACCACCAGCAGGTGCAGCTGCAGCAACTGGAGCACCACCACCACCAGCTCCAACATTCGATAAGAGGTCCGCAATGCTTCGCTTCTCAGCGAGCTTGGCAAACAAGATTGGCCAATAGGGCTCAACTTTCACTTTTGCTGCTTTAACCAATGTTGAAATCTTCTCAGACTGTTCACAATAGTTAAAGAAAAAAAACCCCCAAATTCCCAAATACCAGTTGGAAGATAACAATTTAACTTGAAACTGATTTCCATTTGCCAAATCATCAAAACTTGGATAAGGGAATTGGAAACTAAAAAATTCTAAATCAAAAACCCAGAAAGCATGCAGATTTATACATGTTGAGCATAAATTAACATAATTTCTTAAGCAAGGATACAGTGACAGGGATTCCATCCTCGTTGAGGATCATAACAGCATAACTGCAAGCAGCTTCTCCGATTGACATGGTTGCAACTATGATATAGCAAAATGAAGCAATTAAAAAGAAACCCTAGATTTATAATTATCCAGAAATACAAAAATTGAATGGAACCATCTTCAGAAACAAATACACTGATACCTTGGATATCTGAGAGTGGTGTCTTCCTCTTGCCGGCTGCTGCGCCGCTCACAAACAATTTCCAGCTTCTAGGGTTTGTCCTCGCCTTTAGAAGAGGGTTTTAAAGCTGTGCATTGTAATATTGGACTCTACTTGGGCCCGGAGTGTCAAAGTCTACTGTTCAAAACGGTAGCAGTGAGCATCGTTGTATGGGCCTTCCTTCCTACCCAACTTTAGAGTCTTAGTGCCTGACTAAACATGTTTGGTAAAATTTGTAACGGTTTTAATTTTTCGATACTATTTATATTTTATAAATTTAATTTTTTTTTAATTTATATTTTTTTGTTTTTTAATTTTAAAAAGATCTTAAACAGTAAATTTTAAAAAAATTTAAATTTAAATTTTTTTAAATTTCATTTTTACTCACTTATTACTCAATTTTTTTTATTTTAGAAATAATTTTTAAATTTTTTCTTTAATAAAAATTTAAATTTATTACTTATAAATAATAATAAAAAAAAAACTTTTACAAATTTCACTAAAAATGTTCTTAACTTTGTTCTCAAACATGTTTGGGCCTCTTCCTTTGATCCAACAATATGCTGGCAGAATAAAAAATTGAAAAGGTGTGAAAAGATGACTTAGGGTTAAGAGATTCAAGCATTCCCCTACACGCCGCTCAGCAGTACAGTAGAAACTGTAGAATGCACCCTTTGGTCTTGAGTTGAATCCTACTAGTGTAGAATAGTGTAGAATAGATGCTAACTTAACTATATAATTTTTATTTAAAAAAAAGAAAAGAAAAGGAGGGGTTAAGAGAGTCAAAAACATCTATCAGACAAAAAAGGAAGTCCCTGCTTTTTTTTGTTTGAATGGTAAAGATGTCTGCAAATCAACTTGCACACAAAGATTTGAAATTTTGAATCCTAAACCTTATTTTTACTAAAAACAAACTTTCAACATCGAAATTAAAGTTGCATTTGGAATTTCTTTTTTACAATATTTTTTCATACAGTATCTCATAACGTATTATTTTATTATAATTAAATTAATTTTAATTAATATTTTGTAAAAATTTCTAATTATATATTTATAAAATAATTATTAAATAATAATATAATTTTTCTCATAATAGAATATTAAAAACCCATAAACACTATGCTTCACAATAATTTCAAACATAACCTAAGAGATTCATAATGAATTAGTATATAATCAAGGCCTCTCTCAAAAACTAATGTTAGTTAGTTAACAATGTAATGATCAAATCTTGTTATCAACTTCGATAACATATTAACACGGAATTTCATTTGCCGACATAAATAACTCAAAGTTTTCATTTTATCTCAATTACCTTTTAAGGTTCATTTGGTTAGAGCATCATTTTTTTATGAAAGTTTTTATTAAGAAAATAGTTAAGAAAAGTATTGTACAGAAAATTATTAAGTTTTATAATAAAATTTTGTTAAAGTTTTATTGGATTATTAGTTTTGCTATGTTTGGTAAGAAATTGATATAAAAAAAGTTAATAATAATAGTTGTTAAATGAATCTAATATAAGATAATTATAGAAAAAAAATTTCTTTCAAAATAGGTGAAAAGAAAAAAAATTTAAAGTTAAAATATTACTTTTACCCTTTTTTGTTGTAGTATTAATGTATAAAAATTAATAAATAAGTTTGTAAAGAGAAAAATTTAGAGAACTTGAGAGAAAGTTTTCTCCCAAGCAAACACCCCCTTGGTTTGTAGCTCGTAATTATTCTCCTCACCCAGTAGATAAAACTTGCATTTTTTATTTTCAGTAAAAAAAACATGTTTTGATCTTCACAAACTGTGTGTATCATTACAAAATATTGGATTCGTTTTTCCATCATTTCCAGAGAAAAGAAGAAACTTTCTTACGTCTTCATAGAAATATAGTGAATGGTAAAGCATGCTTGACTCTGAAGTCTGAACCAAGAAAAGGGTATCCAATCCTGCACCCAATTGACCTCTTTGTTAGATCCCCTTGGATTCCAAAGAATAAAATGCCTACAAAGTACTGACCCCAAAAGCAATATCATGAAAACACAACAGGAATTTAAATAAGAACAATTACTGAAAGCAAAAGAGATACTAGTTATCTGTAAAAAAAGAGAGACAGACACCATCTTATTATCCCACCTAATCCTATCTTAAAAAGTATCAACCATTAATAAAACAAAGAATTACAACTTCGTGGGTAAGCTGTCCAAGCCTGCCCATTTTTTCTTGACCAATCAATCAAATTTGAGTTCAAAGATACAAAATTAATCTTATGAACCCACTTAATATGAACAAAGACCGAGTCATCGGATACTCTCTGCATCCAAGACAATAATCATCTGATGATTAGTATATAAGGTGGAATCCAAAGCCAATATTGGTTTCCACCCAATACATATATGAATGAATATGATTTCTTGGCCTAATGCTAACAACTACTTTGACTTCCTACTTTCCTAAACCAAACATGTGTGATGGTAACTAAGATGATCATAAATGCAATACTGTTGCGAATGGTTGAGAATGAATTGTGTAGAGATAGTCAGTGGATTGAGTTTGGGATCTGAAAATGCTGGTTCCTTTGAATGAACAATCTGGTGCTGAATTCTTGAATAGCATCTCTTGTTAAGCTTGGTGATCACGTATCCTTTTTTTGAATCAAATAAATACTTCTGTAAGCTCTTGAACTTTTTCTGTGTTTTGAATGAATCTTGATTGACTTGCAAAAGACTCTGTATTCCACCACAATTTATTAGGTTGATGAGTTCTTTTCAGCAGATGCTTCGGAAGAAGCTTGTGAAGCCTCCGTTCCTACCACCCCAGTTGTGGTGGTGGTGGTGGTGGTGGTGGTTGTTGTTGCTGTTGTTGCTGTTGCTGTTGCTGCTGCTGCTGCTGCTGTTGACGATGTTGTTACTGGCACTGTTGTGGTTGCTGGAGTTATCATTATTGTACTTGCAGGAGTTGTTATTGTTGTGCTTGCTGCATTTAAGTCATTTTACAGATATTGCTTTGAACTTTTAGCAACAAGAAATTAATCAATTGAAAAAGCAATGTCTGAATCTTATAAACATTGTTCAAAATCATCACCTGTGCTAGTTGTTGCAGAGGGAATTGAAGAAGGAAGTGATAGGATTCCCGTAGAGCTAAACTGCTGAGCCACATAAGGATACTGTAGCATTTGGGGATATTGAACACCAAAACCATGACCTTGACTATTTTGTGCATATTGTGCATAAAATGGATAAAAATTATGAAACATCCCCGGTGCCCCTGATGCTCCTGTTGCATAGTACGGTGAGAACTGCTGACCTCCATAGAGACCGTAATAGTTCTGCAACAATGTCATTAAATTTAGACAAAGACATTGCCAAGGAGTTGGTTACACAGTCTTTTTTCAATTAATGAAACAAACAAACAAAAAAATACTAACCAAAGGATAAATGGTGTCTTGTGAATATCCAGAGTACCTGAAAGTAAACCAGAACAAAGATGAGAAACAAAACAGATGGAATTATGTAAAACAATAAACTGTAACAGGGAGATCAACTAAAATGCACATTGCATTAGATTTGTCTATGTTTTATTCTTTATGATATTAGCAGACTTACCCATAAGTTGAATAAGGAATTGAGTATTGACCAGTGGGTTGTTGCATGTAAGATGATGAAGAACCATGATAAGACGGTGCTGATATCAATCCATGTGTTGGTCTAAACCTGCCTCCCCCTGCGATTGAATGTGTTTAGATCCAAATTAATCTCCTCCGTATAAGATTATAAATTCACCAAATAGGTCATTAAAATGATGATTGTAACATACATCCATGAGGAAAATGCATTCCCAAATTTTCAGAATGAACAAAAATTCCGTTGTGGACATTTATGATTTCAACTATTGCATAATAAGAATGAAAAGATTAGAGAGAAACCATGTTGAGGAGTTGGTGGGCGAGTCTTGTGTCCACCAAGGGATGCAAGATTGCAATTTGCCCTCCTTCCATCAATGATTGGAGATGGGTTTTGGCATGCTCTCCTTGCAGCCTCTGGATCCTTGAATGTGACCTGAAAAATGAAAAATGGGGCCAATAAAAAAACACAACTTTTTATTCACCAAAACAAACCAGATCCTATGCAAAGCAGAGACATGGAAGAAAATGGAAATAGGCTTACAAAGCCATAACCCTTAGATCTTCCAGTGTTCTTGTCTGTAATAACCACAGCCTCAAGAATCTCCCCAAATTGCTCAAAATAACGCCTCATGGTATCCCTCTGTGTCTCCCAAGCCAACCCTCCAACAAAAATTTTTGTCAACGCGGTATCATTATATTGCCCCGGATTACTCCCACCCACCGTCAGGAATTGCCTTTGTTGAGACATGAAACACACACACAGAGGAAAAACAAAACAGACCCCCCCCAAAAAACCCCAATAAAAAGGAGCACAAAAATAAGAAACTCAGAAACAGAATCCAAATATAGAAGGAAAGAAAGGATTCGGAGGCGTTTGAATGATTATCAGATTTTCACCCCCAATCAAAAGAGAAAGTAACCTCCTTTTTCTCCCCCCTCAAAACGCCCGTGCACTTGTTCTGTTTTTATGTTTTCTGAAGGGCTTCTTCTTCCTCCTCTTCTGGGTGTTTTTCAAATGCAACAACTTCCACTTTTTCACAACCCCAACTCCTCAGATTCCTCAAAAACGATACCTGTAACGAGAAAATCATTACTGTTGCAGGTGGGAGACGAAGAGCAAGGAAAAAGAAACAAACCCCCCTCCAAGGGAAAAAATATATATTTATATTAAAAAATTATAATAGCAAACAGCAGAAGATGGAGACGAAGAAAGCAGAAAAAGAAGACAAAAAAGCTGCTAGTGGGCACCCACGACAAGGTTGTCCAATGAAATATCAATACCAAAGACCCAACCTTTTTCGCTGTATCACCCACTTTCTCACCCCTATATATTTTTATATATTAATAACGTCTGCTTCGCTGGATTCAACCTTCCATTTTCCCCTCCCCTCTTAATATTGCATGTTCTGTTTCTGGCATTTGTGGGTCTTTCAGATATCATGCCTTGAATTTCTCTCTTTCTCCATTCTACTCCGAATGCTACTATCTCTTTCTCTGTTTTTTTTTTTTTTTTCTCTCTGGTTCCGTTCAACTCCCTCCCCAGCAAACTGCAGTTATTCCCTTAACCGAAAAGGTACAGTTAATTAGGGGTAATCTTTTGTGGGCATAAACTTTCAGGCACATCCTTCTAAATCCCAAAAAACCCCTAAATGGACCTCAAACTTATTTCTTTTCCAATTTCAACCTCAAATTTATTATTTTAAGATATTTAAGCCCTTGTAGGACAGAACAAATAAAAAATGATATGGTTACAACTAAGGCTTGTTTTATATTCTATATAAAAATCTAGTTGAAAACAATCCACCATTTTTAAATTTTAATAGGCTCCACCAAGTTAACTGTAATGGTTATTTTTTTTTTTTCCTTTCTTTGACTAGATCTGTTGTGTTAATTTACATAAAGACGGAAGGATAAGGAAGCTACTAATTACACAAACCTCACATTTTGGTATCAAGTGTTGCACGGAGCCTGAATAACTCTAAATTAAGTTTGAGGATGAAATTGAGAAGAATAACTAAGTTTAAGGGCCAATACAAGGACCATTCCAAAATTAAGTAGAAACTTTTATGGTCCCCTAATTTAACTGATAAATAAAAAAGAGTGCGGCTTTTCTTTAATAAAGCCCCGAATCCACCCTTAAGTAGATCACATAGAGAGCAAAAAAAAAATCACCAAAAGAACACTACTTCTCAGCGTCTGTCTGTCCACAACAGCCTAAACATCATCCCTGACATGCATTTCTATTTTTGACAACAGGGTCCCCTCTTTTAATCATACCCTTTCTAAGCCCCCATTTAAATTTAGTTTAATTCTACTGCCATAGCTGGGTGACATTGTCTTTTCATTAGAGCCGTGAGGAGGTAAAATAAAATGAACCCCCCATTTCTATGTACAATCAGGGTTCCTTAATTCTTAAACCAATAAACTAAAAATAATCCAAAAATAGATAGGAGTATTTGCTAAAAAAAAATGATAATAAAAATAAAATTTTATTTTATGGTATAAATTACGCTAAATGTAAAATAAAATTATTATATATATATAAAGTTTTTATTTTTTGATACATTTGATTAGATAGTTATCCTCTATTTCTAAATTTTTTTCTATTCGATTCAAAATTGAAATTTAAGATTTTTAATTTAGAATTTTAAGTTTTTAATCATTGAATCATTTCATTAGAATTTTTTTTTATCTCACTTATATAATGAGAGATAATCATTTTTTATCTTTTTTTTCATTCCACTCATGTGTCATCCGATTTAAATTTAAAATCACTTATTTTTAATAAAAAAATAACTATTGAAATTATTTTTAAAATTATGAAGAAATTTTTAATATTAAAGATCTATTTCCATTTAATAATAAAGTTGTGTTATCAAAAACCGCCCAAATTGTCTATTACTTTTTTCAAAATAACAATTGGGGCCAAGAAAACAGTGTTGAGCGTGGAAACCGGCGTCAATGATGGTCAAATGTAAATTAAATTTATAATTAAAATTCAGAGACAGAATCATGGTTGTCGCTACCATACAACGGCCTTGGACTATCGTGGGAGTTTGGTCAAACCTGTACTTTCTTGTAAGCTTTTGTTTTGGATTTCGCTAAGTCTTTGTAGAGTAGTAGAGTAGTCTACTGCTAATTTGCCTCTAAAATTTTCGTTACTTTTCCGTCTGTTTGTTTATTTTGGTTCTGTGGTTTTTGTCGACTCTGTGGGCGGCTACAGAGGCTGGGACTGGGAGTGGCAAGGAAAAGGAAGAAAATGTGCATTTACCCAAAAAAAAAAAGAAAAAGGGAGGGGGTTGGGGGAGAAGAAAATGTGAGTGTAAAAGGCCATTTTTCCATCTCAAAAAGGATAACAGATACCAATAAAATTGTTTAGGATACTAATTATAAAGTAAGAATTTATTTATATATAAATTTTATATATTATATAAAGTTAGTATGTATTAATTTTAATTTTTTTTAAATTAAGGTTTTAATTTGTATTTGAAAACTAAAATATTAATTTAAAAATTAAAAATTAAAAATTTACTTATTAAATGTTAATATTTAAATTTAAAATTTGATTATCTAAATTTAAATTTAAATATTAATATTTAATAAGATGGATTTTTAAATTTTAAATTGAGTTTTAATTAAA